GTCTGAAGGCCACGATGGGTGGAGACAGAGAACTGAACTCTGGTGATTTGTGCTTTGGTTGATAACAACTTGTTTTTGGACTCTGGAGGTCTTTGATTGGTTCCAGCACGGAGTATTATTCTTAAATGTCACTGGCTCTGCTGCATCCTACCCTGTACCATGTGTTTGATCCCCAGCCCCCTCCCTTCCTTAGCTGCCTTGCACTGTGCGAGTGGTTTTTTTGAGCGTATGATTCTGTGTTTCTGTGTAAACATAGGATCAGAACATCTTTTTTTAATCTCATCTTTCCTATTGTGTGTATTCCAAGCTTTTTAAAGGTAGCGCAACCCCTACTGGTTGCCGCATGATCTGATCACCTGTTCCCCATGTTTTTGTCATGTGTGTGTCTTCTTGAATGGGTGTTCTTAAATGTAATTTCATTGTGCAAACACGATGACAATAAAGGCTTTCATCATCTTTGTCTTACACTATCTTTCCCCTTTTTTTAGTCCAGCTGGTTGAGGTTCACATCCCAAACACTTTGGGCTGCTGCTGAACGGACTGACCTCTTCACTTTTATTGGGATGCCTAAAAACAATTGCATGCATTGGGAGGGAACCCAAGTTTTATTTATTGTAATTTAACAGGAATAAATGATATTCCCTCCTTGCTTATTCCCTCGCAGCCAGTGAGACGTGCACCTCCTGCCACCGCGGACATGGATGAAGATGCCCAGCTTCAGTTGGCGCTTAGCCTGAGCAAGGAGGAACACAAGCAGGTAGAGTCTTTATAACTCTGGAGTTGACGAAAATTTTGTCTCTGAACAAGGGATGTGTTGAAATTACAGTGGCACATAATCACCCTGCTTCAAATGTATATAAATTTGTTGTAATAGTTTGGATTTTTTTTAAATCAAAGTTTTTGTGTTATCCCTGCAGTCCTTGCACCTCCCTTCAGTCTAAATCTGTCTCTTTGTCTATTCTCTCCCTCTTTATGTCCGTCTATGGTAATGTATGGTAGCACAATAGAGCTGCTCTGTCAGAGAATATTCTGGTTTGTCCCGTCTGTGTGCATGTGTACCTCAGGAGGATGCAAGCTAGACCATAAATAAAGTATAATGTGACAATATGTGTATTTTTGCCCAAAGCAGTCCTGCTCAAAGGCGGCTATGTATCTGTATCCGTTTATAGGAGCAGCTCAGTCGCCGYGGGGATGAGACGGAGCTTCAAAAAGCTCTGGAGGAGAGCAAACGGGAAATGGAGGGAAAAGGCGGGGTATGAAATATTATAAGTATTGTATATCTTGATGAAAGTGGAGACCATTTAATGTTAAACGTGTGAGCATGTGTGCAAATCACCAACTAAAATGGAAATGCTAAAAGTACACTGGCTTTTTTTAGATCAACTTTTGGACATTATTGATGGTAAAATTGTAAAAGAATCACTTCATATGGAAGCTAATAATGATTTAATTTTTCTACATTTGCTCAGACGGCCTTTATGGACCTGGTAGATGTTTTTGCCGTGCCTGTAGATGCGCCCCCTATTGACAGTCGCTGGAATAATACTTCGACCCGGGCAGCGTCTGGCGTTGGGGGTACAGACCCCTGGGACTCCCCAGGTGAGACTTGATACATATCGAGCATGTTAAAGTGAATTATTATGGTTAAAGGAGACACATCATGCTTTTAAATCCTTCTTTATCACATTTAAATCATTCAGTTGGGGTCTATATAAAGTGGAACTGCAATCCGTTCCTCCTTACCTCGTGTTCCTCCAGACCGGTCGACTCTAGTTTGATAGAGGGGTTTACGACTGTATGTCGGTACAGAAATGTTTTATTTACAAATTAGTAAAATATGTCAACAAGGGAAGACTTGTCCATCCAGCCTTACATGTTGGAGCCAGAGTCTGACCCAAAACCAAAGGAGAATGAAGACCACCAGATTGTAGTTGGTAAATCCAGACCTTATTTGGAAGTTCTGTTACAAATTCTGAGATGTTCAGAAAACCTCATATAAAAAAGAGAAAGCAGAACAGGTTGAATAATTTGACCTGAACAGAATATAAAGATATCTACACAGCACAACAAAATGCATTTAATAGTTTAAAAAGTGGATTTTGCATGATTTGACCCCTTTTAAGTATAACATTGTAAAAATTTGTAAAAGTGGTTTGTATTACCAGTTTTCCCTGTTAAAAAAACAWACAAARAAACATTTGTTTTTATTAACTTTATGCTATTTTGCTGAATAAAGACGTCCCGAGAGCCGATTCTCCCTGGATGGTGCCCCCACCTTCCCACAGCCCCCCACCACCATGGGAACCACCCTCTAACTCTTGGGTTGCAGCGCAGAATGGTGTCTCCCCCCTCCTTACAGGCCGAGACGTGGCTTTTTCTGGAGCGTCAGGTGGGTGTCGGGCCTCACGAGTACTCAAAAAMGCAAAACTGGATATTGTTTTAAAGGAATTCAATTCTGTTGCCTTCCGGTTTATAAACAGCCTCCATGGTAGTTGATCCATTCTTGGCCCCACCAGAAAGAACAGCAGCTAGAGGAGCTACCAGTAACTTTCCACCTCAAAGTCCAACAGGTAAAGTTTATTTGAACAGCTCTAATCAGATTTTTGTGCACTCAGTATTCTTACAGTGGCGTTTTTCTGTTCTGCTAGATGGGGATTTTTTTGATGAGGCCATGGATGGTGGTAACACGGGTATTAATGGTCAGAGGGTGGACAGTCCTGACCTTTATGAACTGTCCAGTCTTAGAGAAAGCCTAATTAACCCCACCCCTCGCGCGTGCCAGACACCCGAGTCCTTCCTGGGGCCCTCGGCAGCATCCCTGGTAAACTTGGACAGCTTGATTCCTACAAACCCTTCGGCCAAGACCACAAACCCCTTTTTATCAGGTATTTGCCACGGCAGTTTTATCATTCCGCTTTTCGATAAGCTTCAAAATGCTATGTTACTCTTCTGTTTTTGTTTCTCTACGTTTAGGAGTGAGTGCACCTTCGCCCCCTAATCCATTCCAAAGTGAGCCGCAAAAACCCAGCCTGAACCAGATAGGCTCCGCCCCTGCAGCCCCCCTCCCCCCGCCTCTTCCATACAGTGCCTCTTTGCCCCTGCCGACGAACCATCAGGGTGCCTCCCTCCCTTCGTCYCTCACTCACCCTCCTCAGCCTGGACTGGACCTGCCAGGGAAGCTCCCCGAGCCCCTGTTGCCCTTCTCCTCAGCCATTAATCAGGAATCGCACGAGAGCAACCAGAACCCTTTCTTACTCTGAAAGGGACAAACGTGGTATTAAAAATATRGGAAATGCCATTAGGTTATGCTTGTGGAATAACACTCTTTCTGCAAACCAAACTACAACCCAAAAGACTTGTATGAAATGCCTAAAAGTTTTTTTTTTATGTTGTATATAAAATAACGCTTCTATTGTTGCAAGTTTTTCACATGAGGGTAAGAAGGAGATAAACTTTTCTCAGAAAACTGTCATGTAAAGCCAAGGACTACAAATGCAAACTACACAAAAGCACATTTTGAGAATACCTTGTTGTACGTGAACTCACTGGTGAGAACCAACCATATGCCTCAGATTTCTGGTAATTGGGAACATTTACTAAAAAAAGGAAAAAAAAACTTACTCAGTGCCTGAAATGTCTTGTATCAACACATTTAACTCTGCTGTGCTTCTGTGGATCTGAACTGATGAGATGAACCAGTGCACGCGGAGTTTCACTGAAGTGGGATGGAATGCAGAATGAAATTACAAAATGAAATCCCCCCATTATGCATCAGAATAATATGCAATGCAACATCTACAATGTCAAATTCTGAGTTTTATTCATTGCTTGTGAACCATCAAATCTAATCAAATACAGTCGTGTATCTGTAACACGAGTTCTTTCCTTAAATTTGTTTATTTTAAAATTTTTGAAATAAATCTGAATGAAACTATTTTGTGGCATCCAAATCCACAATGAAATGAACAAATAAAAGAATGTAAAAACAATAATTATGATGAAATAAGTACAAAGATGCATTTCTATAGTATTTTTTTTATTTTTTTTTGGGGGGGGGGTGCTGTTAAACTTAACCAGTTTTACTTGTCTCCCCCCCCACACACACACACCTTTTGATGCTTCTCCCAGCTACACTTTTCATAGCTCTAAATACAAGTTATGAAGTTTGCAGAGGTCCTTCCTGTAACGGCTGATTGCAGTTCAAAAGTTTGCTGGGATTTATTCCAGAAATCGTCCCCGAACAGTTTAAAATGATGGATTATTCCTATTGTCATGTACTTTTACAGTGATGTGCTACAGTCACCTGCTCTTTACCAATCATCACCTATTTGACCCCGCCAGAAGCAGTGTACAGTGAGTTAAGACTTCCTGTTTTTAACAGATGTCCTAGTTTATATGAACTGGCTGAAGATTACAGTTTGTGACAGCGATGCTGAGTACCGACATGTTTTTGAGAAGTGGTGGTACGGAGTACAAGCACACTTTGAGAACTGACTGAGTCCTTGTCAGAGAGTCGTCTCGGACGTTTCTGAGGGAAGAATCACCTTTTTAAAAGAACAAATACTATCATTTGACTGTGACACTTTCCAGCCAACTCAACACTTCTTGCAGTCCCTGTCCAGAACGGGCACTGACTTCCAGTGTTGTAATGTGCTGAGGAGCAGACACAATGATGTCATCCATCCTGAACAGTGACTTCATCTCTGTTAGGCTCATGATGCAAGGCATGTCCCTAGGAAAGATTTAAGAATTAAATCAGAAAAAAAATGGTTTAACATTTTCCCTCTCCCCAGTTGTGACACTGGGTACATTTAGTTTTAAGATTACTTACAGCAACAATTTGTTCATTTGTAGGAACTGATGTTTATAATGGGAGTCTTACCTCTTGTTAAAGAGAATAAGCACAGAGGCATTGTGCAGAGGCTCAGCAGAGAGAACAGACAGCAACTGGATGCAGGAGGAGGATATCTGAGCAATGTTAGCTGAATCCACCATAAACTGGAAAAAAAATTGGATCAAGCTCTGCTAATACATTTATTTTTTAAACACTAAATAAATTCCATATATTTGCAAAGGTCTTACAATGACACAGGAGCAGTCTTCAAAGTAACTGGGCCATATAGGACCCATGCAGCCTCCCAGCTCCCTCACTGTAACTCTCTTCTTCTTCAGAGTTAGGTCTGTCAGATTTGTTCCAACCTGTYGAGGATAAAATAGACCCACCACATTACAAAGTTAAGATATCACATGTAACATGCCTGTAGCCTTTTAAGTTCTTACTGTGGGAAGAGTTMGAGGAGTCGAACCCACTTCACATGAACCATGTAAATTGAGCAGTTAAAAATCTGTAAGGAAATAACCACAATAGCAATTGTTGGGGCTTTATTATAGGCAAATGTTTAATTGTCCAATGGCGTAAGACGTATTTATTTCAAGTTAAGCAACGTCAAAACAATGTAAAGCTGAACTGGCATGCGGCTATCGCGCTTAGGCTAACTAACTGTTCATTACATACAGCAGACACTAGCTGGTATGCTAGTCAGGACAAAATTTTCACAACTCTTGTTCAAAACACACAAAAAAACACAAAGGATATCTTGTAAGCGTTTGAGTAATAAAGTTTTTCCGACGCCAGTTGCTCCAAGCACTAAACATACGTCTTTGCTGCTCATTTCGTCTTTTTTCTAGCACGAAGAAACAAAGCTAAACCTGTGTAAACACGAAGCTGCCTCACTTGGAACCATGGCGACGCTCACGTGACAACGTTACTCGCCAGTGATAGGTCAAAGTAGATATCAATCATTTAGTATCAGCTTCTGATTGGTTAACGTTCAGCAAAAGCGGAAGCAAAACAACTTCAGCAAGAGTCGTCGTTGGTTCGCGACGAAAACTGAACTTTGGAGACTGCGTGCGTACGTCTAACAATGTGTTGATTATATCAGACCTTTTATTTGAAGAAACCTTCAGAGATCATCATGGAGGAGAAGCTAAAGAAAGAGTTGGGGACAACCCTGCTGAAATTCACAGGCCACACTGGAGGTGGATGTGTTAGCGAAGGCCAGAGTTTTGACACTGACACTGGGAGAGTGTTTGTGAAGATTAATCACAAGAGCGAGGTATTTCTTTAAATTGTATTGCTTTTGCTTTTTATGTTTTATTAACTGTAGTTATATCTAGTGTTATATCTTCTAAAATTACATTAGGTAAACTTGAAAACCACAATTTAAACTAGTTTCTACATTCATCAACAGGAAACAGTATTTTATTGTTTTAACTTCAGGCCAAACGGATGTTTGATGGAGAGATGGCGAGCTTGGAAGCTATTTACAAGACAGGGACTGTTAAAGTCCCTAAACCTATGAAGGTGATAAAGCTTGACACAGGAGGATGTGTGTTTGTCATGGAGCATCTGGACATGAAAAGTCTTAACAAGTAAGTAAGAGCTCTGGCATATAATTTAAATTCACCTTATGTCGTTTGTGGTYGATGTGTGTCATACTTTCTCCTTAGGATGATCATCCTTTCTTCTAAATCAGGTACTCAAAGCAGCTAGGGGAGCAGCTGGCAGATCTGCACCTTCATAACAAAAGACAAATGGAAAAACAAGAGAAACAACAGCAAACCGTTGGTAATTGATTTAGTTTTCACCTTTAAGTGCATGCAAATGCTGAGCATTCACAAATAAATATATTTTTGCTGTTACAATGTTACTTTTGACGTTTAAATGAGTCATCCGTGTATGTGACCTAAATCAGGTAAAGGAACTGGACAATCAGAGGCAGCTGCTGTCGAGAAGTTTGGATTTGGTGTACCCACGTGCTGTGGATATTTACCGCAGGTAAAAGTGTGATAAACCTGTAATATGTAGATTTAGTCTTCATATTTTCAAAAAAAATTGTCAGAAATATAAAATTTTCTTCACCTCCTCAGGAAAATGAGTGGCAGAGTGACTGGGTGTCATTTTACTCCCAGCAGCGGCTGCAGCACCAACTTAACTTGGTGGAGAAATCATARGGAGACAGGGAGGCCAGAGAACTATGGGCAAAGCTACAGGTTCYTGCTTATGTTTCACCCCATCAATACTTTTAAGTACATTTTTACAACTGCCTCAGCAATCTGACTTATTGTATTTGTTCATTACAGTTGAAGATCCCCCAGTTCTTCACTGATGTGGAGATTTTTCCCGCGCTCCTGCACGGAGACTTATGGGGAGGCAATGTGGCAGAGTGTGCAGAAGGCCCTGTGATCTTTGACCCTGCTTCCTTCTATGGTCATTCAGAGTTTGAGCTTGGTATTGCTGGGATGTTTGGTGGCTTTAACAGCTCTTTTTACTCTGCTTACCATGACAAGATTCCTCAAGTGCCAGGCTTTGAAAAGAGAAGCCAGCTTTACCAACTCTTRCACTACCTAAATCACTGGAACCACTTTGGTGGTGGTTACAGAGGCTCATCAGTTAGGATTATGAAGAACCTACTTAAATAAAAACTTATAGAAAAGACTACAGTCTTATCCCCAAGACACATTTCATGGAAGCATGAGTATTAATGTCATACATGCTGGCATGCTTTACAGGCTCACAAAACTTTGCAGTGTTGCAATAAATCCTCCCAGGTCCTTTGTGTTTAGAGCTCTYTAAACCGATACCTCCAAATATAATGGATGACTTCAGTTGTAAGATTGTCCACTACTAAACCAACAATAAACTGTAACAATTCAAAGTCTTTGTGTAAATCATTTGTTTTTATGTTACCTATTTTAGCTATTGTTTTTTTACCTAGAATGAAAAACTATTAAAACTTCAGTGAATGTAAAAAGCTCAGCTGTTTTCTAACGAAGATGAATAACATTTTCTAACAGGTTATTAAAACGCTGAATTAAACCCCCCACTAAGGTACAATACACTTGTATTTAAATATGTTTTTATACAGTAGCTACACGGAAAAAGTAGAATTGTTGTATTTATATAAAAAAGAAATGGCTTTGATAACCACATTTTAAAAAACTTTTATGCTTTCATCCTTGTGCATTTTTGGATTTTGACTCTTTTTTTT